AGACGGGGTTTCACCATGTTGACCAGGATGGTCTCGATCTCTTGACCTCGTGATCCACCCGCCTCGGCCTCCCAAAGTGCTGGGATTACAGGCTTGAGCCACCGCGCCCGGCCTAACATTTTTCTCAAAAAAAAGATTATGCATATAGAAATATTTTAGCAAATTATGCAGTAAATAAAAGGAAGGCTCTATAACAAAATAATGATAGCATCAGGTTAAAACCAGTGGAGGCCGGAGAGAAAGTAAAAGCCTGCGCGTCCGCCTCGAGATAACTCCACACCCGGGTAAAGATTAACTCAGTACCCACAGCTAACCCGTGGCTGGGCGGGGGGAGCTCGGGGACTCCGCGCACGCGCACATCCAGGTCCCGGCAGCCGCGCAAGCGCAATCGCCCGGAACATGGCTGCCACCGGCCCCCAACCGTAAGTGCCGACGCATCCCTGGGCCCTTTGCTGCCTCCGTTTCCCCCTGGGGGACGGCGTGGCGGGTGGAGGCCCTCCGGATCCTTGTGGGGCGGCGAGGGGCGCGTCCACAGGTGGGCTTCACCTGAGTAGTGGGCATGTCGGGCCCTCTAGGGCGGGGTCTAGCCAGGGCGCTGTTCTTGTTGCGAGTGGGTACGCTCCCCTGAGGGCTAGGTAGCTCTCAGGCTGGTGTGGACGCTTCCGCTCTTTCCTTCGCGTCGCCCGTGAGTTCCGCGCTCCTGCCCTTATCCGGCTTTCCCACAGCGACCGTTTTGCCGCGCCTGCTGGGTTTTCTGGTCTGTCCCCTGGAGTAATCCCCGAGTCTACCGCTTTTCTGCCGGCGGGTGGGAGTGGCGGTGTAGGCGTGGGTCGGCCTCCGGCTGAATTGGCTAGCCTGAGCCAATGGGCTGAGCCGCTTCCTCTTGAGTCCGGCAGGTGTTAGATCACCTGTGTGTTTTTCTATTTGATAATTGCAAAATCATGTTTTACTGCAATTCTCAGTGGGGGCCTAATTTTTGCACCTGTTTAGTGACCATTTCGCTGTCTTCTTCCTTGGTTTAGGGGTTTATTTTCGTTGTGCAATCTCCCAGTCTCAATATTTTATGACAAAAAATATTGGTTTATATAGAGAAGCTGAAAGACTTGTGCAGTGAACAACCCGGTTAACATCTGCTGAACTTAGTGTATCCCTTATCGTTCCTTCTGTCCATCTTTTCAGCCATCCATTAATCCACCTTTTTGGGAAACATTTCAAATTAAGTTGTAGATATCACAACACTTCTCCCTCAAACACCTCACTATCCTTAATATGAATTAGAGTTCAGTAGTGCTTTTTAAAAAATTTTTGAGCCAAAATTGACTTTCAGTGAAATGCACAGATCTTCACCGTACCATTTGAGGAGTTTTGGCAAATGCAATCTAAACCTTTATTAAAATTACCGTCAGCCTGGAAAGATTCCTTATCTTTTGCCAAGTAAAAAAATTTGGCTATTAGGAACTTGGGATTGTAAGAGTATGTTTTGAATACCAAGCTTTTGTCTGTTTTTCTTTTCCCACAGCAAGTGACTTTCCTCCATTCTACTGCTTGTTTCCCTCTCTGTTCAGCAAACTTTTACTTTTCAAAGTTTCACATTTACATAAAAGTTACAGGAATAGTTTAAAACCATGTAAAACCATCCAGATTCTCAAATTATTAACACTTGTTGGCACATTAGCTTTACCTTTCTCCTCTCCCTGCCTCAAACACATGCATAGATGTTACCAGAAAAAGGGGCTGGAACTATACCCCAAGAGAGGGTTCTTGTATCTCCAGAGAGAAAGAATTCAGGGCGAGTTCATAAAGTGAAAGCAAGTTTATTAGGAAAGTAAAGGAATAAAAGAATGGCTACTCCATAGATAGAGCATCCCCAAGAACTGGTTGCCCATTTTTATGGTTATTTCTTGATGATATACTAAAGAAGGGTGGATTATTTATGCCTACCCTTTTTAGACCACATAGGATAACTTCCTGATGCTGCCATGATATTTGTAAACTGTCACGGTGCTGGTGGGAAAATAACCAGAGGTCACTCTCGTCGCCATCTGGTTTTGGTGGGTTTTAGCCACTTTCTTCACTGCAAGCTGTTTTATCAACAAGATCTTTATGACCTGTATCTTGTGTCAATCTCCTCTCTCATCCTGTGACCTAGAATGCCTTAACTGTCTGGGAATGCAGCCCAGTAGGTCTCAACCTTATTTTACCCAGCCCCTATTTAAGGTGGAGTTGCTTTGGTTCAGATGTCTCTGACGTAGGGTTCTCTTTTTTATATTTTACATACATACATGTACACACAGCAAGTGTTGCAGAGGCAGGTGTGGTATAGACATATATTTACATACACTTAGGTTTTTTTGGCTGAGTTACTGAAAGTATGTGGTAGATACCATACTTCACTCTAAAATACTTCAGCCAGAATCTCATAAGAAAAGTAACTTTCTTTTTTTTTTTTCTTATTTATTTATTTATTTATTTATTTTTGGAGACGGAGTTTCGCTCTTGTTACCCAGGCTGGAGTGCAATGGCGTGATCTCGGCTCACCGCAACCTCCGCCTCCTGGGTTCAGGCAATTCTCCTGCCTCAGCCTCCTGAGTACCTGGGATTACAGGCACGTGCCACCATGCCCAGCTAATTTTTTGTATTTTTAGTAGAGACGGGGTTTCACCATGTTGACCAGGATGGTCTCGATCTCTTGACCTCGTGATCCACTCGCCTCGGCCTCCCAAAGTGCTGGGATTACAGGCGTGAGCCACCGCGCCCGGCCTATTTATTTTTTTTCAGATGGGGTTTTACCATGTTGGCCAGGCTGGTCTCGAACTCCTGACCTTAAGTGATCCGCCCACCTTGGCCTCCCAAAGTGCTGGGATTACAGGCGTGAGCCACCACGCCCAGCCTACTTTCTTATTTTTAAATTTTGTATTTTTTAGAGATGAGGTCTCACTATGTTGCCCAGACTTGTTTTGAACTCCTGGCCTTATGCAGTCCTTCTGTCTTGACCTCCCAAAGTGCTGGGATTACAGGTGAGAGCCACCACACCTAGCCAAAAAGAACATTCTTGAACAAAACTCGTGTTATTACCACACCCAAATACTTTTTTTTTTTTTAAGATAGAGTCTTAGTCTGTCACTCAGAGTAGAGTGCAGTGGTGTGATCTCAGCTCATTGCAACTTCCGCCTCCCGGGCTCAAATGATTTTCCTGCCTCAGCCTCCCAAGTAGCAGGAAGTACAGGCATGTGCCAGTAGGCGCAGCTAATATTTGTATTTTTAGTAGAGACAGGGTTTGGCCGTGTTGGCCAGGCTGGTCTTGAACTCCTGACCTCAAGTGATCTGCCTACCTCGGCCTCCCACAGTGCTGGGATTATAGGTGTGAGCTGTTGTACCTGACACCAGGTACTTTATTATTGATACAGAACCCTTGTCTGATATAGTTTGTATGTAGCTGATATAGTATGTAGCTGATATGGTTTTTTGGTATTGGTTTTGCTTCAGGATCCAATCCTGGATCCTGTGTTACATTTACTTGTCATGTTATTTTAGTCTCCTTCAACCTTGAATGGCACCCTCCTTTCATTTTTTTTTCATGAAATTGGTATATTTTTAAAAGACCCAGTTGATTGTTGTGTAGGTTGCCACTTGATGTTCAGTTGATATTCCCAGTATTAAATTCAGACTCTTATCTTTGGCAGGGAATTACCTAAGTGACATGTTCTTCTTGGTATGTCATGTCAGGAAATATGTGAAGTTGGTGGTGGTCAGACTTTTGTCTTGTGGTTAAAGTGCTCACGCCTTAATCCCAGCACTTTGGGAGTCTAAGACTGAGGGATCGCTTGAGCTCAGGAGTTTGAAACCTTTGAAACCAGACTGGGCAATAGTGAGATCCAATCTTAACATTAAAAAAGAAAAATTA